AGGGTGGGCGGGCGGGGGGGTGGGAGATAAGAATCCGGACCAAGTGAGACACAGTAATGAAATGGAATGAATTTTATTAGAAACATTTTTATTTCTTTATTTTTTTACAAACAAAACCTGAAATGTAGGATATGGGAAATGATTCACCTCCTTTTATCTCCAAATTGACTCCAGAGGTTCCCTTATGATTTCTGAATGAACCAATGTTGACCTAAAAGAATGATGATGATAAATCAAGTCACAGTAATCCAGTCACAGTATAAATGCACCTGCTCTGTGACGGTCTCACAGGTCTGTTAAAAAAATATTAGGGGATAAAAAGCGTCACAAAGTCCAAGAAATACACCAGACAGGTCCAGAATAAAGTTGTGGAGAAGTTTAAAGTAGGATTAGGATGTAAATTTTTTTTTGCAATCTCACGGAACAATTCAATCAATCATATTGAAATGGAGTGAGTATCACACCCAAAGCGCAAACCTACCAAGACCCGGCGTGCCACGGCCTAAAGCTAAACTTTTAACACCGATCAGAGATGCAGCGAAGGGTTCCATGACCACTCTGAGTGAACTGCAAAGGTCCACAGCTCAGGTGGGGGAATGAAAAGTATATTTGGGGGTTTGAGGGAAAAAAAAAATCATGGGGTTCTCATTTTTTTTTTTCAATAAAGGTAAGATACACAGTACACAAGTATCAAACTGCACATGCATTACATAATTTTGAGGGGTCATCAATCATCACCTTGATGGCATTATGTCAATTTTCATTTTCGTGTACATGTGTAAACACGCAAACTGATTTGACAACACTTTCTAGTTTAACCTTCGCGATTTTTTATCTTATATTTTGTAGCATTCAGTCAAGATGATCCACAGTCTCTTCCTGGTCAACTCCTCAGGAGACATTTTCCTGGAGAAGCACTGGAAGAGTGTGGTGAGCCGTTCTGTGTGCGACTACTTCTTTGAGGCCCAGGAACGTGCCAGTGAGCCGGAGAACGTCCCACCTGTGATCCCCACTCCTCACCACTACCTTATCAATGTTCTAAGACATCGCATATACTTTGTGGCGGTCATACAGAGTGAGGTGCCGCCACTCTTTGTGATTGAGTTTCTGCACAGAGTCGTCGACACATTTCAGGTTCTCGTTATGTCTTCTCTTTGCCTTTGATGAATTTCTCGTACTGAAGTTCTGTTGTGTTCGACACTGCAAACGTTGAAACCATTAATGTGTGTTGTTTTTAACAGGACTACTTTGGTGTCTGCACAGAGGCTGCCATCAAGGACAATGTGGTCGTGGTCTATGAACTACTAGAGGAGATGTTGGACAACGGCTTTCCCCTGGCCACAGAGTCTAACATCCTCAAAGAGCTTATCAAGCCTCCCACCATTCTCCGCACAATGGTCAACACTATCACAGGTACAATGTGTAGGATTAGCTCCAACAATTTTGGTTGGGTGCGGGTTTGGGGTATCTTGGGGAGAAAAGCTTAGTCGGAATTACAGTACTTAAATCATTTTCAATGTCATATTTGTATCAAAGATGTTCTAAATTAACAGCAATGGTAACACGATCATGTTTTATGTTTTTGTAATAGTTAACACACACAAAGGTTGAAGGTCCCTCTTAAGTGACTCATATTCATAGGATGAGAGTCCTTTCCCATTGAAGTTATAAAATTTTTAAGCTCACTGCAAGTTATAAAGTACCGTATTGGTCCGAATATAAGATGGCCCTGATTATAAGACGACCCCCTCTTTTTCAAGACTCAAGTTTGAAAAAAGGCTTTTTGAACAGCTAATTAATTTTTATACAGAAAATAATTACAGTACATCTGAAACAAATGATTATAACAATATATTTGAGAGATAAAGTATCTTCAAGTTTACACCATAACTTCTCCTCAGCTGCTGGTTAACCTGGCCAATCTTAGACCCACTTTTCTCCAGATTGTCGCTACGTTTCTCCATTTTCTGTTATCTCTTCTATTATTTTCTTCTCTTTTCTTTCTTTCCACTATTTTTTTATTTTTCCTTCTTTGTGCTACCGCTGTTTTTATTTTTATTCTTCGTGGCAGGGGTTCACTTTGACCTGGGAGTCAAGTTCAGCATTCGCTTCAATGATATCTGGCGTCATCTAGCGTCATGAATGGGTATAATGTCTAGACCCCGAATATAAGACGACCCCCACTTTTTCTTATTTCAATGCAAAAAACACCGTCTTATATTCGGGCCAATACGGTAGTCATGCTGCGAATAGATTTGCTCAACAATGTAGGTTTCATTTTGTTTCATTGTTTTTTTTTGTTTTTTTTTTTATTTTTAATGTCCATTCTGGAGCTGAAGAACTTTCTACTGGTCAATATTGTTTTGTGTAGCCTGGTCCACTTTGATACAGGGCTCCAAACATTTATTTTTATTATTATTTTTTATTTTTTTAACTGGGAACACAGTGACTGCTAACCTGAAACTTTAGGGGCGCGAGAAGCAAGTTTGGGGGTTCTTGCTGATGAATGGACAGGAGCCTGGATGAGAATTTGGTCAACAGCAAAAAATACTGAAGTGAACTATCAGAAAAAAAATAATTAAATCTGCAAATTTCCTGGTTAGACAGATGCGGGTCGATGAAAAATGTACATGTGCTGCCTCAAATTTTAGGAGCAAAAGAGCACCATTTTAGGGCA